TGGGCAGTATAGTGGGTTATGTGCTGGGCTGCTAAATGCAAGTTCAGCAATTGGAATCTATCAGACGTTATATGAGAGAAAGATGATGCTTTCTGCTCCTGTAAAGATTGACAACCTCGGAAACTCTACACAGGGTTGCCATGAGTCAGAAATGACTCCACAACACATAACCAACCAATCAACCAATCTAATAGTATAGGATTTCCAAGGCTGTAAATCTTTATGGGAGCAGAAACCCTCACTTTCTCCCAAAGAGTGGCTGGTGGGCTCAAAGCTCCAATCTTGTGGTTAGCAGTCCAGTGCTTATCTTACAGAACCATTGCATTCCTTAACCTATTGTTACAACCCTTTCTAATTTTGAATTGTTCTTATGCTGTTGCTCTTATTATTTATGTTAAATTTATGAAATATTGGAACCCTTTTATGTGCAGCAGGAATGTTTATGCTGTACAGACACAGTCTACTTATTGAAGTTGAAACTAAACTTCTTCCAACAGGTTTACGAGCCCAGAGCTTGCTGCGACAGTAATTGTTTCTCTGGCAAGTTTTTTTGTTTTGTTTTGTTTTTTCCACTTTCCTCCATGTTTTTGGTTTTATTTCTGAGGAACACCTGGTGAACTTGAACCATCAATCTTGCAGTTCAAACAGCTTTCCTTTCTGACACATTAACCCACAGCACCAGACCAGGACTCCACTTATCTATATGTTGTTGTTGTTGTTAAGTGCCGTCGAGTCAATTCCGACCCATAGCGACCTTGTATAGGGTTTCTGAGGAGCAGCTGGTGAGCTTGAACCGGCGACTTTGCAATTTAAACAGCTTTGCAGTCTGGCATATTAACCCACAGTGCCACACCAGGACTCCTTATCTCTATAGTCACATATAAATTTGTGTGTGTTCTTCATTTTTAATGAAAAACAATGTATACTTTTTATTTTATAATTTGCAATTCATAATATAGCTTTTGAGCTCTTTCAAATCAGCACAAAAAGAACTGTTTTGCTCAAACCTACAACTGCATAGTATCCCTCTGTAGGGATGTGTCATCATTTATTTAACCTGCCTTCTAATGATGAAATTTTCCATTCTTTTGCTACTACAGATAATACCACCACAAAAATCTCACACATATATCGTTTCTTATATGTGACTATATATCTGTTGGATATGTTTTCTGAAATGAAATTGCCAGGAAAAAGGAAAAACATATTTGTAATTTTGAAATGTATTGACACATTGTCCTTTATCCTTTGAGGTTATATCAATTTACATTCCACTGATGACTTCTCAGGTGCCAAGTCTACCTTACCTTGTCTAACAAATACTGGTACATAACCCAATTAGATATACCCAAGACCTGATGAGAGAGTACTTACTGGGGGCAAACTCAGAAACAGCAGCAGTATGAAGGTCTCCCGTACCTCAACGCACTCTGGGATTGCACCCCACTCTCTTTTAGCTGCATGATGAGGGACGTACCAGACCCCTCCGTGATGTAATCAGGAGGCAAGAGCCAGGCCTTGGAGCGAAAGCTGTACAGCATGGCGGAGCCTGGGCTCTTCTTCAGCAGTCACGGAGGTCTTTCTGCTTCTTGCCATGCTCCTGTTTGAGTCCACTCTTCCGGAAGCCCTCCATCTAGTGTCCGGATTGTGGGGAAGAAGACGTTCTGGATATTGGCTAGTTTTTTTAAAGATAGATTCTCCATTTCTATTTTTCTTCTCCTTAGTTTTGATGGGGATGAGTTCTGAGAGAAGTTCTAGATTTGCTCTGTCATATTCAAACTGGTATATTTTTTGCTTATTTCCTGCAGAAGTTTTTTTCCTTCATAGTCTCCTCAAATAGGTTCTTTCAACTAGGAACGAGAGGGAGGTTTAGGGTGGTGATGGCATTGAGCCACCTGGCTGAGAATGAAGGAACGGTATTGAGGTAAATGCAGTGAGAGAGACAGTAAGAGTAGAGTGGCCTTAGGAGTAGGAAAGTCTTTACTTGGAGAGGGGGTGCCTTAGCTTCCTAGGGCTACCTGGTATGACACTGTAGGATAAGCACTGAACCACAAGGTTCATTTGAATCATAAGGTCAGCAGTTCAAACTCACCAGTTGCTCCTTGGAAACCCTATACAAGGTCACTATGACTGAAACCCAACTCATTGGCACTTAACAACAACAACAAACCATAACAAAAACACTACAAGTGAGTGTCTTTAAAGATTAGGAGTTCATTGTCTGTGTGGATGCTGTAAATCTGCATTCTGATGAAGGCAGCAGGTCTATGCACTGTCTCCTCTAGGAGATCTTGGCTTGTCTCTCTTAGCTTCTAGCAGCCTTGGGTATTTATTGGCATTCTTTGGCTTGTAGATAGACTTTCACATTGTGTCTTCACTCTGTGTGTGACCCTTCATGTCTGATTTTCCATTTTATAAGACATCACTCAGAACGGATTCGGTTTAGGATCCACCCTACTCTAATATGACATTACTCACATAAAAGAAAACCCCTGTTTCTAAGCAGTCGCATTCACAGGTGCAGCGTTAAGAATTCAATATATATATTTTTGGGGACACACTAATGTATAACAGATAGGAATTTAACAGAGGGTTTGACACATAGGAGGAGATCTATTTCTTTTTGCTGAATAAGTAAATTAATTGAGAGGATTTAGTCTTTACCTTCCTGGATCTTGTCTTGCAGGGACTCATGCAGCCAAACTCTGAAGCCAATGGGACAGCCATTACTGAGTTCATCCTGCTGGGCCTGGTGGAAACACCAGGGTTGCGACCACTTGTCTTTGTGCTCTTCCTCTTTGCCTACATGGTCACAGTCGGGGGCAACCTCAGCATCCTGGCAGCCATCTTGGTGGAGCCCAAACTCCACACCCCCATGTACTTCTTCCTGGGGAACCTATCAGTGCTGGACGTGGGGTGCATCAGTGTCACTATTCCCTCAATGCTGAGTCGTCTCTTGTCCCACAAGCGTACAATTCCCTATGGAGCCTGCCTCACACAGCTCTTCTTCTTCCATCTCCTGGTTGGGGTGGACTGCTTCCTGCTAACAGCTATGGCCTATGACCGTTTCCTGGCCATCTGTCAACCTCTCACTTATAGTACACGCATGAGCCAAGTAGTACAAAAAATACTGGTTGCCATGTCCTGGGCTTGTGCCTTCAGCAATGCACTGACCCACACTGTGGCCATATCCACACTCAACTTCTGTGGTCCCAATACTATCAATCACTTCTACTGTGACCTCCCACAGCTCTTCCAGCTCTCCTGTTCCAGCACCCAACTCAATGAGCTGCTACTCTTTGCTGTGGGGTTCATAATGGCAGGCTCCCCCTTGGCTCTCATTGTCACTTCCTATGCCCACGTGGCAGCTGCAGTTCTACGAATCCGTTCAGTGGAGGGCAGGAAGAAGGCTCTCTCCACATGTGGCTCTCACCTTACTGTAGTCACTATATTCTATGGGACAGGTATCTTCAACTACATGCGGTTAGGTTCAGTCAAGCTCTCAGATAAGGATAAAATTGTTGGAATTTTTAACACTGTCATCAACCCCATGCTGAACCCTGTTATCTACAGTCTCAGGAACTCAGACGTGCAGGGTGCCCTCTGGCGAGTGTTCATGGGAAGGCGGTCACTGGCCTGAGGAGGCTTTCTGTCCTTTCCTCCATGTTTCTTTTTGGTTTAAAAAAAGAAACTCACTACTGCTGCCATCAACTCAGTTTCAACTCATAGAGACACTATATGGGGTTTCCAAGACTAAATCTTTACAGAAGCAGGCAGCCTCATCTTTCTCCTGTGGAATGGCTGATGGGTTTGAACTGTCAACTTTGCAATTAGTAGCCCATCACCATTTTTGGTCTAAGTGAGGTGTAATGGTGGTGGTAGTTGGTTATGTGCTGGGGAATCGGTTCCTACTCATAGTGACTCTGTACAGGGTTTTCGAGGCCGTAAATCTTTATGGGAGCAGAAAGCCTCATCTTTCTCATGCAGAACTTCTGGTAGTTTTGAACTGCTGACCTTCTGATTAGCAGCCCGACTCATAACCACTATGCTACCAGAGTTCCTTAAGGGATGTGTAATAGTTAATCCTATATGTCAACTTGGTTAGATTATGGTGCCCAGTTGTTTGGTCAAAATACTAGTTTATATGTTGTTACGAAATATTCCCATGTAATTAAGATGAAATCAGGTGGCCTTGAGTAAAGCAGATTACCCTCTACAATGTGGGTAGGCCTCATCCAATAAGGTGTGAGCACATAGGGAGGGTTTCCAAGAAAGTATTCTGCTTTCAGAGTATAAACAGACAGATTGCCAGCATTCCCCGACTACCTGACAAACCAATATTGGGCCACAAGACTGTGAGAACTTCCAGCCTGTCACCTGATTTGTAGACTTTGAACTTGCCAACCACACAATCACATGAGCCAATTCCTACAATTAAAAGATAAATTAATTAATTAAATAAAATCAATCTCTTTCTATAATGACACATATAATCTTGGAGTCCCAGTGTGGCCCTATAGGATAAGCAATCGGCTGTGGTTAAGCAAGGATAAGCAAGGATGGTGGTTCAAAGCCACCAGCCACTCCTTGGAAACCCTATACAAGGTGGCTATTAGTCGGAACCAACTCAACAGCATTTTTACTGGTTCTTTTTCTCTAGAGAAAGATTACTAAAACAGGAGGTCTCTAGGGTCAAGGACTAGGATAAATGGTGTGTTACTATTGTTATTAAGTGCCGTCAAGTTAGTTCTGACTCATAGTGACCCTGTATAGTGTTTCTTAGGAACAGTTAGTAGGTTTGAACTGCTGACCTTGTGGTTAGCAATCCAGTGCTTGTCCTACAGTGCTACACTGGTACTCTAAGGACAGATGGTCTAGAACTGCTTATCTAGTACTAAGCATGATGACTTTTAGAAGGAACAATAGTTAATGTTTTCCAAGGAAGCTTGCTCAATTATCGCTGTTGTTGTTTAAGTATTGTGAAGTCGATTCTGACTCATAGTGACCCTGCATAGAGTTTCCGAGGAGCAGCTGATGGGTTTGGACTGCTTACCTTGTGGTTTGTAGTCCAATGCTGATCCTACAGCGCCACACCAAGATCCCATTACAGGCAATAAATATGTAGGTCCTGTCAAGACAGCACCTAAATTACAACTTCAGTCATTATAGCTTTCTTTTTGTGGGTAGAGGTGCAGCTTAGGAAAGAAGTCTTAAATATTTATGGGTTCATGTTCCACAAGGATGGACTCTTTGGATGAGTATAGTCTGGGTACCTCCCTGCCAAAATACTCCTGCTAACTTTTCCCCTCATGATCATATAATTCCCTTAAGATTAGGTATGGTTAGTGCATTTATAAAACAGTTTTGGAGCTCAAGTTAGTTTTATTTCCCTATCAGGCCACCAAACAGCCACCACTCGTTTGTCAGTCTTTTGTACTGTGGTGACTTGTGAGTTGCTGTGATTCTGAAAGCTATGCCACCAATATTTTGAAATACCAGAAGGGTCACCTAGGTGGACAGGTTTCAGTTGAGCTTCCACACGAAGACAGACTAGGAAGAAGGAGAGACAAACTACTTCTGAATATTTAGTCAATGGAAACCTTATGAATAGCAGAGAAACACTGTCAGATATAGTGCCGGAAAATGAGCCCCTCAGGTTGGAAGGCACTCAAAATGTGACTGGGGAAGAGCTGCGTCCTTAAAGTAGAGTTGAACATGATAATGTGAATAGAATAAAGCTTGTGGGAGAAAAGCCGCGGGACCATTATTTGCTGATGGGGCACAATTCAAAATGAAGAGAAACAGCTGTAAACATCCATTGAAAATTGGAACATGGACTGTACGAAGTATGAGTCTGGGAAAATTGGAAGTTGTCAAAAATGAAATGGAATGCATAAATATCGATGTCTTAGGCATTTGCTGAAATGGACTGGTATTGGCCATTTTGAATCTGATGACCACATGGTTTATTATGCTGCAAATGACAAATTGAAGAGGAATGGTTTTGCATTCATATCAAAAAGAACATATCCAGATCAATCATGAGGTACAATGCTGTCTGTGATAGGATAATATCCATGAGCCTACAGGGAAGCCCAGTTAATACCACTATTATTCAAATTTACTCACCAACCACTAAAGCCAGTGAGAATGAAATAGAAGAATTCTACCAACTTCTTCAATCTGAAATTGATCAAACGTGCAACCAAGATGTATTGATCATTACTGTTGATTGGAAGCAAAGACGAAGGATCAGTAGTTGGAAAATATGG